GACGTGGGATCCGAATGTTGTCTGAGAGATGGGAAAAAGTCATTGCAAGTGATGGACAGTATTTTAAATAACCTTAAAATTACCATTCTTCTAGAATATATACTTAATTTTTAATAAAAAACGGCGGAAACTTATTTGTACACCTAATATATTAATCGATTAAAAATTTATTAATTATTTTTTATTCTTGTTTTCTCTATTTTTTACGACTCTTTCTGTTTAACGACCGACAAAGCATAGTATAAGTGTTAGATTTAAAACATTTATTTAATACATGCGAATATAAAGGAATTACAAAATTCATTTAGAAGTTATATTAATCGATTAAATTAATTATATATTCTTTTCCTTCGGAAAAGAAAATTTATCGATCGTTATTTTATTTCTGTTTGAAAAAAAAAAAAAGAAACAAATAAAAGCAAGAAAGAAAGAAAGAAAGAAATTATCCTGTTACAAAGAGTTACGTTGCGTGTAATTACGTATGCGGTATACTTCGAAGAAATTTCATGCATTATCTATCGTCGGTGGTGGCAATGACATCAGAGCACAAATACGCACACGTTAAAAAATAATAAACGTGAGCTTCTATAATCTTTACCGATACAACACAACTCATATCTCATAAGACATTTCGTTCTAACAATTCCCTTTTCTCGTTCCCACTCTTTGGTTGGTAGTTGGTCGTTTGCTTCCGTAAACGAAAAAAAATATTCCTATACACCTTTCTTTTTTTTTTTTTTTTAAACCCAACACGCAGCGTATCTTTTTTTTCCTTTTCTTGTTTTTTTTTTTTTTTTTTCTTCTACGTCATTCCGTCTGCATTTTATGATATCAATGCATTTTATTATTTCTTTTTTTTCCTTCTCATTTCTTACTAACAGCAAACCAATTCTATTTCCTATTTACTTTATCAAATTCTATTCGCCAATCTTGCTGGTTCTCCTTTTTCTCTTTTCTTATTTCTGTCGAAAGGAAAATAAGTCGAGCATATTAAATAAGTGATAAGTTATTTACGCGCGCGTACAAAATATTTAAATATAAATAAATAAAAGTATCAAAAATTGAGAGATTTCTTCGAGATTTTGGCATAAATCGATGCGAGAATTTCGTTGTTGATCCACACGCACACACCAACACACATATGCAAATTATATGATTTATTATTAAATTTCGTTTAAACAACGCTATATAACGAATATTTTTCTTCCTTTTTCGTTTCTTTTCTTTTCAGATTAGAAAATAATATAATTAGGTATAGTAACATTTCTCATGTTGAGTATCATTTGGTATAACGAAAAGGAAAAACTAACATAAGTTATCTAGGATCTTTTTATCGCAAACCTCACATATCACAGTGGTTTTGATCATTTGCGGTTCTGATGTGAGATAGATAGATAAAGAGAGAGAGAGAGAGAGAGAGAGAGAGAGAGAGAGGAAAACGACGAAACACTTTATTATACTTTATTCACTTTGGTGCATTTGGACTTTGTGCGCCTGGCCTCGTTTAATATTGTTTTTAGCCCACGACCCGTTGCAGAGTAATAAAATATTAAATCGTCTAAGAGAACAAGTACCAAACGGAAGGTAAGAAAGATCGTCGACACGTCTTGGATTGCCAGAAATAAATCACACGGATGTTATTTATAATTTCATCGAATACAGATAGATATACCTATATATACATACATATATATATTTGTGAATGCAATTTACTAAAAAAAGGAAAGGAAAAAGAACAAAAGTTCAAACAATGTTTCTTATCTCTGTCTTTTCATATTTTTCTAACGCGAATTTCTCCTACGATATACTTAAGTACACGTTTACACACACACACACAACAAATATATACACTAAACACATAGTAGACGAATATATTTATGTACTAGCAGCATAGATCAACAGATAATTAAAAAATTACCTGACTCAGCGGATACGCAGCATTGATAACTACGTAGTTTATCCTTCACACATTCGTACAGACACGTGTATATATATATATATGTTTCTATTTGTTTTTCGACTTGCATCTTCAAGCAAGTCTTTAACGAGATCATTAATAAAGCAACGAAAAGTAATAACAACTACAACAGCAACAACGACGACGACGACGATGACAATTAAATGAAAATTAATGATTACTATGAAACCAAAAAAGAAAAAGGGTTTAAAATAAAATAAAGGTAAAATAGAAAAGAAATGATTAAAAAACAAAAAAGCAAACAACTTACACTTACATTGGTCGAATATCTTAAGCATCGCTTTCTTCAGCTGCATAATCGACGAGCTGATCGTTTGTCGGTTGCGTTTAAACGAAAATATTTTATATTGTTTTTTCTTCTTCTTCTTCTTCTACTTCCACTTCTTTTATATTTAAATAAACAAATCGAAATTATCTGGGACGAACAGATCACTGATCAGTCTTCAATCCTTCTTCGTCTTCGTCGTTCTCCTTTTTTCGACTCGAGTAACGACCATTTAAAGATACTAAATTTCATTCTTCTACTTTTTTTTTTATTTCCTTTTCTCTTTTTACTTTCTTCTACTTTTTTTTTTCTCGTTACCAGATATAAACTCTGTGTCACATAGAATAAAGTTAGACCACGAGATAGAAAAATAATAATAGAAGAAGATAATAATGGTTGGTAAAGAATGGTGGTGAAAAGGGGTGGTCTGAGGGATGGCTAACGGAGAGGGTGAAGGGGGCGGGGTAGTGGGGAAAAAAAAGTGAAGAGAATCGGATCTGTTGGTAGTAAAGAATCTCGTGAAAAGAATAGTTCAAGGAGCTAGAAAAGATTCGAGAGGACATTGAGGTCTCGTTACGAGTGTCCCTACTTTTTCTAGTTCCATCTTCAACATTTTCATCTTTTTCCCCTTTCTTTATTATCCTTTTACTCGATAATCTTCTACCCCACTTCTACTTAATTCTTATTTATTTTTTATTCTTTCTTTCGTTATCCTTTTATTCTTGTCAAAACTTTTTTGACGTTTCTTAAAAACCTATTCCACTTCTTCTTACTTCTTCTTCTTCTTCTTGATTTTTTTCGTAGCAACACTTTTCACAAAAGACGTCGTCGCAGCGTCTACGATGATGCACAATTCGTAATTTTCTTTCACTCTTCTCCACCATCCATCCCCCTATTCTCTCTCTCTCTCTCTCTCTCTTGTTCACTGTTTCGTTAGACGACGTACGTCGGAGCTCTCCGAGGAAGTCGTCGTCACTTCCGGCGCGCTGGAATCCGCACGATGAATGAACTCGTTCGTGTAATCACTCCCACGTACCGAACCGACCTCTCGGGGCAAATTCGCTCCGATAACACCCACGTGGCCTCGACACTCTCTCACTCTCTCTCTCACTCACTCTCGTTTTGTCTCTCGTTCTGTCTAACTGTCTATCTCTCTTTAAAATGATCGAGCGAATACGTGGGATCTTCCCGTGATTCCCTCTTTCCCAATGAGTTAAACACTGTTCCTTTTCTCTTACACTTTATCCATCTATTTATCTATTTATCTATCTATCTATCTGGCTGGCTGTCTGTCTAATTATTTATTTATTTATCTATCGTTGCATGTTCAAATATACGTTTATGATTTGTTTTTTTTCACGAGACGACGACGAAGAAAAAATGAATAATAATGACAGATATCACGTCAAAATCATTCGATATAAAAAAAATTTCACTACCAACGACACACACGACGAAGTCCAATAATATTCGTCTTCGACAAATTATTATTATTCGGTTTTGTTTCTTTTTTCTCTTTTTTCGAAGTTAAATTTTCAATTTAACACGAATAATATATTAGATAGATTATTATTATAATGAATTTGTTTTTTGTTCTCGTTAATATTAAAAACGTGTAAATAAAATAAATATGTATTAGTCGATAGGATAAATTCAAAGTATAAATCTAAACCAGACAACACACACCAACTTCTTTTGTGATCCTTATCGTGGAGGGCTCTCTCAAATTTTGACTGTCAATCCAACTTGATTAACTCGTACTTGTGTTAAATCCAACCTCCTTATCGGCAAGTTTGATTTTAAAACAAAATCCCGAATTCGAAATTAAACACGAGACTGCGTTTATTTAAATACCAGTAGAATGAAAAAGAGAGAGAGAGAGAGAGAGAGGTTTAACGAAACAAATTTTCCAAACTCATGCACACACGTGCGTGTTTTTCTGCGCGTGTATATGCCTGTGTCTCTGTGTGTTTTCCTTCTTCTTTATCTTCTTCTTCTTCTTCTTCTTCTTCTATGTATTTAGAAATTTGTTCCAATGACGTTGCGAGAGGCACGTAATAAAATAAACAAGTATCGTTGATAAACACTATAGAGAAAGAAAGAAAGAGAGAGAGAGAGAGAGAGAGAGAGAGAGAGAAAACGTAAACCGTATAAGAAAGTTTTTAAAAGAAATATATTCACTCTCTATCTTACGAAATGAAAATTTATTAATTTGAAAAAATAATAATAATAATATATAATAATAATAATCTCGTAAAATCCCCCCCCTAATAAATTTTCTTTTTCTTCGTTCTATTTACACATTAATCGTCATTGTTGAAATCTTGAAGAATGATAATGAAACAATAATAATAATAATAATAATAATAATAATATCAATGATAAAACAATAATATTGATAGAAATGCACTATTTGGAATTAAAGCGCATCACAAAACGTGGCGTTTACTACGCGAGCTTGATCGCGACTGCCGAGCAAAGTCGAGTCGAGTCAGAGTGTTGCGCGCTAGACCGAGAGAGAGAGAGAGAGAGAGAAACAGAGACAGACAGACAGAGAGAGAAAAAGAGAGAGAGAGAACGATGCGTCAGGAGTGAGGCTGCTGCTGCTGCTGCTGCTTGGCAAGAAAAGGTTCGAAAGGTGGGGAGTGTATTTCAAACGATGTGATCGAGAAAGAAAGAAAGATGTGTGTATATGAGTGAGTGAGTGAGTGAGTGAGTGAGTGAATGGGTTAAAAAGAGAAGAAGAAGAAAAAGAAGAAGAAGAAGAGAGAGAGAGAGAGAGAGAGGGAGAGAGAGAGAGAGTGAAGAGAGAAAAAAAAAAAAAGGAAAAGGTATGCTCAGTGAAGAAGGATAGATATATATCGCGAGAAGCCAGGTAGAGGAAAGATACACGCAAGAAGGCGCGAACTTGCACGTCTATGCACGATGGTCGACGTAAAGCGTTGAAGAATTGCATACACGAGCATTTTCTTCGTGACGAGTGTGCAGAATTTTGCAATTTCTCGTTTGACTGACGTATCGCGTGCGAAAAAAATGCCCCGACTACTACTAATACTATTACGTTTATTTTACAAGTCGCGCGTGTACGCTTAAGCGTCCTGCCTTCTCACTCCTTCTCGTAGAATCTTGGTGTCACTGTCTTTGTTTCGTCATTTCTCTCTCTCTCTCTTTCTCTCTCTCTCTCTCTCTCTCTCTGTGTCTGTTCATTTTTCCACGAACCCTTCTTCTTCTCTCTCTCGATATTTTATTCTTTTTTAATAAATTTGTGTTTGTGTGCGTGTGTTTTTATTTTTCTTTAATCGTTTCAAGAGATTCGAGTACGATCGTATCAATGAAAAAAAAAAAAAAAAAAAAAAGGGGAAAAGAAAATTTGGTTGAAGTAATGATGATATTATCTCGAATTGTTTGTACGAAATTTATACGAAATTTTGACAATCGTTTGAGTAATCGCACCTATATATTATTGGTAATCATTTTCAAGGTTTTATATTAACGATGTTCGTGAATTTTTCAATTGAATATTTTTTTCCAAAGTAAATTTAACAAAAAATATAATCCATTATACGATTTCAAAGCACAATTTCAATGCAATAAATGCACGACACAAACTTTGAATAGAAACACGATCGAGTGTTTTTTAATAATAATAATAATAATAAAAAAACAGAAGATAGAATGTAAATAATAAGTGTAATAATATTCGATTAAGTTGAATCTCATTACACGTGTCCGATCGTGAACGATTACACCATATCCTTCATTGCCATGCATTTTTATTTTATTCTAATCTTTCTTGTCACGTTTCGCTCGAATGTTAGAAGAAAAAGTTAGTCGAAGATAAATCGATAAATACGGAATAGTGTATCGTTATTTTGACGATGATCGATAGTTACAATTGCTTACTTTTCGGTTGGTACGGGAAAATAAGAAAAATACGATTGAAATAACAAATTGGTAACATGGTACTCTTTTTTTTTTGTCGAGTAATAAATGAGCCGTTTATTTTTGAACGCGAAATAACAAATTGTTACCATAGTATGTAATACGTATACTTTTTTTCTCGAGAAATAAATAAATCGTTTATTTTGAAAGCGACCTAAATCTCTCCCCCGTTTATGTTTAAAATCGAAATATTTCAATAAAACAAAATCACACAGCGTTTCAATGAAATTAATTAAAATATATATATATATATACCTATAGGATATAACCAATCTGTCATAATCCTTGAATGTATATATCTGAATTAAATTAACAAATTCTTATTAAAATAATATTCAAATTATGAACTGAGAGAGACAATTAAGTCAACACTTTCGAAATAAACCATATAAAAAATCGTTAATCGTACGAATCCTTGTGAGTAAATAAAAAAATCGTATTGATTGAAAAATTAATCTTAGAGAGCTTTTTTAAGAGCTTTCGTTGTCAGTTTGACGATTAGACCAACGTCCAAAAGTCGTGTGTGCTTTGTCACTCTGTGGTAGTGTAGCAAGGAAGGAAAAGTTATGATTACGGAGAAACGGCGTCATTAGTCCCGCCTCTCTTGCAACTAGACCCCTTCACCCCCCTTTTCCTATCAACCATCACCATCACAACATACACACACACATATACACCATCGTATCGATCTTTATCATAGGACGTTACGATCTATGAACCTCTCGTTTCACGTAACCTTTGATGTCTTCCTGTATATGTCTCTTCTTCATCGATACACACATGATATCACGCATACTATTTTACACCCAATTATCTATCTAACTATTTCATTAAAAGGTGTATCAATAAATTTATCTTTCTTTTCTTTGCTATATTATTTACTAGGAAACAAAATCTTATTGAATTATATTGATTCGATTTATTAATATTTTATTTCTTTTCTTTTTTTTTTCTGATTAAAACGACACGACACGGACTCGCACGTTCTGTTTCCTCCATTTGGAAAAACCCCATCGGGAATGATATTAGTTTTTTATTTTTTTTTTTCTCTACTTCTTTCGTATTCCATTATTTATTTGGGAAAAGGAGATTTCTTACTAAAAAAAAAAGGTGGTATTTTTTATTAATTTTTCTTTTTGATCTCTCGTTTTGTCCAATTTGATAAAATATAGGAAAGGCTCGTTCGTTTTTTTTCTTCTTTTTTTTTTTATTTCCTATAGCAATTCAATTTATGATAGCTCATTATAACTCTCCCTTCTTTTAATAATATAAAGAATCCTATTAAGGGGATGTCTACTAACAAATTATGAGGATTTGAGGGTTGAAGTATCATATGGGGATACATTAAATCACTTTGTTGGCACCCAAGGTCGCCCTTTTTCAATATAGAAAAAAAGAAAAAAAAAACAAGCCAATTTTTGAAAGTCCAATGAAAGTAAATGCGGAGTCCTAACAAACGACCTTGAGATATCTTGAAAGATAAACATGTTAAAAAGTCAATGAATTCATTACGTAATACGTCGAACATCTATCTAATTAAAAACATGTAATTCATTCAGGAGGAACAAAAAAAATAAGATTCCCCTTGAGATTTGTACCTAGAGAAGATTGATTAGCATCGAAAAATAAGTCTCTTGCAAAATAAAATAAAATACTAATTTGAACTTATGCGAATGGCAAATGGTCTGTAAAATAATTGAATGTAAAAGTTTTAAACGCGAGGCGCATGTTGCATATCGACGATTAACATGATCGTTCCTTCTGATGGATGATCGTCTATTTATTATTTCCTAGAATACATCGGACAAATCGTAATTTACATTAATTACTGTTACTTAAATGCAATAATAAAAAAAAAGAAAAAAAAAAAAAAAAGAAAAAAAAAAACAAAAAAACAAAGCAAACAAATCCGCCGTCTGATCGTTAAAACTCGTAATGAACGTGTCTACCTCCCCCCACTCTGATCCACTCCTTACTCCTGATTGGTTCTAAACGTAGATTTGAAAAATAGGCGCGAGGCCGATGTTACGTTATGATTCCACGTTGCTCCAATGCGCGGCGCTCAAATTCACAGCACAACGCTCATGCTAATAAAATATCGACTGCAATAAAGTAACTCCGGGTACACTTCCGGTATTTTTAAATCATTTTCCTTTTGGGACTTTTTTCTTTTACAATTCGGGAAAAAAAGAAAAAATAGAAACAAAAAGCAAAGATGAAGTAAAAAAATGAAGTGAAAAAAAATGAAATGTAAAAAATGAAATAAAAGATGAAGTGAAAGTTGAAGTAAAAGTTGAAGTGAAAGATAAAGTAAAAGATGAAGTAAAAGATGAAGTGAAAGATGGTCGAGAAGAAGATACGAAGAAAAAGATGACTATGACTATGATGATGATGAAGAAAAAGAAGAAGAAGAAGAAGATGAAGTTTCTAGCTCGTGCGCATACTCGTGCGCATACTCGTGCGCACATTTGCGCGCACGCCCGCGCTTACGTCAGGCGCGCAAGGCCTTCGCTAATCTTCGATAAAGTAAACATGACTTTTATCGTCCCGCCGGTTGTCCGTGTCGCGTAGGTTAACGTTATGGACAATCTCCCTCGACGGGTGAGAGGAGAAATTGCTTGGACAAGTAAAATAGTGTGTAAGTAAGTAAGTAAGTAAGTAAGTAAGTAAGTAAGTACCTTAAATAAGTAACTAAGTAATTATAGTAAGTAAGTATAAATATATGTACGAGTTATACAATGTGTGTAACTTTAACGTAAATAGTATTTTAAAATTTGTTTCTTTTTATTTTACTATAAAAATAAAATAGGATAAAAATAAAAGAGAAAAAGAAAGATAGAGAGATAGATAGAAAAAAAGGAAAAAGAATCAGAAAATCATTTTTCTTTTTACATAAGCCAAAGTAAATTGAAATGAAAAATAAGTTCTCACCCGAGGGTGTCGAAACGAAATGGCAAAGTGCACGATGAATGTGTTTTTCAAATCGACAAAATATTATACATATATCCACACAAAGAAAAAAAACAACAAAATGAGTAAAATGTTGAGAGAAAGAGAATATAAAAATCGTATTTTCATTAAATCCAAAGTAAACGAATAAAAATAAGTATAAACTGGATGACGTTGTTTAAATGAAATGAAATACAATAGAATTGTTATCAATATATATACGAAATATTGTATTATTTCAAAGAATCAAAATAAATGAGAATGAAAGAAAGAAATGAGTGATGGGGGAAAGAAAGAGAGTTGATTTTTCAAATAAAAAGTCGAGAAATTTTGTCAAGCGAGGAAAACGTTATCTATTTGGTTGTCGTTAAGTGTGTGTATGTAAGCTGGTGTCGCCTCGTGCACGATAAGGACGCATACGCATATTTACATAAGTATATGAGCGCGTCCGGGTGAGGAAAAGGATAAGAAGAAGTGAATAAAAGTATGAAGAGAGAGAGAGAAAAGGAAACGCGTTTTTCAAACGTAAACGAATGTGAAATAATGCTATCGAATCAAGAACAAGAAAAGAAAAATTGGCAGAAGTAGAAGAAGAAGAAGAAGAAGATGAAGACGAAGTAAAATAATTTATTTCATGTATCATTAACTTCAAATCGGATAATTATGTCTATCATTCTTTACATACGTATGTAATTATGTATGTTTGAATGAATATGTGTGTGTGTGTGTGTGTGTATGTGTACATAGCCAATAAGAATTTAATTATGTAAGAAAGACATATTAATGATTCATATATTACCATTATTTCCGACTTGGCGCCTCTTAATTTTTTTTTTTGTAATACTCCTCAATTCCTGCATATAGTATAATATGATAATATACTCGTTCGAATTTTAACGAATTAAACGGTCCTTGAATTTTTTGTTCGTACAATTTTGAAATCTTTTAGATTATATATTACTTGTTTGTTCCTTTAGAAGTCTCATACTTTTTTTTTTCTTGCTGTTTAATTAATATTTCTTATTTTTACAAATTAATATATACCTATATATATATATATATATAGATATAAATCGTGTACGTAATCGTTATACTTTTCTATAATTTCCAACTATCGTGAATGATTTCTTTTTTTTAGATTATTTTTAATTCTAACTTGTTAAGAGTTCGATCGGTCGATTAATTTTTCTTTTTATTTTCTACAATTTTAAAATTGTTTTTGTATCGTATACGTAACTTGTTTGTTTCTCGTAATATCTAATATTTTGTATTATTTTAGTTATTTACAAGTTCAAAGTAAAATATCTCGCACGTCATAGTTCTACTTCAATAATTTTTATCGATCCCTAAGCGCGTTTCTTAGGATTTATTATAATTCTAATTCACCTTAGTTCTTACTAGATCCCATCCGTTAATCGCATAACTTTTTCTTCTTTTTTTTCATTCTTCTTTTATTCTTTTCTTTTTTTATACTATTATTACACGCTTTTCCGTTAAATAAGGCGTAAACGTCGAGCTAACGCGCCTACGTTTTTAATGTTTCTCGGGCAACACGATAAAAATATCGATTACGCTAGTTCCTTTAGAATCTATTTGATCTCACTTAGGGTATATATATATTTACAGAAACTTTTCAAAAAAATATCAGAGATTGCAATGCTATAAATTGTACAACTTTGCTTTTTCTTTGAAAAGTTTCGCTAAATATTTTTTATACTTTTAGCAAACGCATTTTAATGATTTTTATATTAAATTAAAGTGCACTCTTTTGTCTAGGCGTAGAATACCATATTGAGTTATAAATTTAGCATGTAAACTTCATAAAATGTCAGAGAATGCAATGCTGTAAATTGTGCATCTTTGCAATTTCTTTCAAAAGTTTCGATAAATATTTTTTATACTTTTAGTAAACGCATTTTAATAATTTTTATATTAAATTAAAGTGCACTCTTTTGTCTACACGTAGAGTACCTTTTCGCGTTATAAATCGAAAATAATTATAAATTAATTTTTAAATAGTAATTTGATATTCTATAGAATATCAAAGTATTATGTTCGATGCCTAGGAAAAATTGGAAGAATTTTTCAATTTCCTATATCACCTGAAGACTCTTTGCATTCATATTAATGCCGAGGAATTTACTAGCAATGACTGATTTCCGGGTTTGACGGTAACATATATATAATATGTATGAAAATATTTGTTTTTAAAATCATTTTGTCGTGACTTGAAACGATTCAATTCGATCTCTGCTCGACTTTTGAATGAACATCATATAAGAAAATAGTTTCACGTGAATTAATTAAAAAGTTAATTACACGATCTAAGGAATACAAATGACGATTACAACAAAATGAATAAATATAATGAAATAAAATGAATAAATAATGTATCAATATCTAGACGATAACGCAATCTTAACGTTCGGTTGATTGAATATACGAATAAACAACAAGGAATTAAAAAACAAAACAAAATAAAAAAGGAACAAGAAATAACAGATACTTTAATGATTGCTTGGAAGAAAATAGGAAGGAGAATTGTTGTTTTGTTGTAAGAATAATTGATGGACGAATGAAAAATGAGAGAGAAAAATTCGTGATAAGAGGGTTGGGGGGGGGGGTTATATCTTTGTTGGGTCACGTTTTTATGACTTTTATTCTATATAAATAAATATATAATATATTTAAAATATATATTTAAATATACTTATATTTATTTTCTATAGATATACGTGTTTGTAACGTTTACTACTAGCATGAGTGCGTGAATACGTCATTTGTGTTCGTCAGTGCGTTCACGACAGCAAAAGCGGAAGAGAGGGAAAGAGAGAAAGAAACGACTGACTGGCTTTGCCAGTCAAGTTTTCACAAGAACGACATGTATATCTCTGTGTGTGATGTGTGTGTGCATGTATATATATATGTAAGCATATACATGAGAGAGTCCAAGTCTCTACTAGCAAGTTATGTAACCGATGAAGTAGAGAGCAGCATTCGGAATATCGTGCCGACACGTCGGAGCTTCGTTCAACACTCTAAACGTCTTCCACTTTCCTGTAAAAACCGAATTTTACCGATATTCCCCATAGAGTGAGGAAACATTTTTCAAAAATCCCATTTTCCAAGTCAAATAAACTTTGATATTGTATATTTTAAAATATTTCATTTCTCTCTTTACGTCAATACACATTGAATAATATTTTCTAGGATTTGGTTTTTTTTTTTTTTTTTTTTCTATTTTTTCATTTCTCTTATCGTTATTTCATAGTATAAAAAATGAAATAGTAATTGTAATTTTATTGATAGGTTAATTTATTAGAGGTGTACGTAAGTGAACACCTTTTATAAAATAACAGAAATGAAAGTGGATAAAAAAAGTGTAAGAGAGAGAGAGAGAGAGAGAGATAGAGATAGAGATAGAGGTGAGTTGTTATTTGAATAAAAAGCAGTTTTAAAATTAACATATGGAATATGTTTACAGTTGATTGAATTAATTAGGACGTTTTAAAGATTTGGATGAAGATGTTTGTGGAGGAAATATTGTGTGTATACTCCACAGTTTTATAATATATTAATTATAATTGAGAGATTTTTGAAAATGTATATGATTAGAATTTAGATCTGTTTTTTCTTCTTCTTTTTTTTTTTTAAATATGATTGATAAACATATAAAATAATTTTGATTGGCTTGAAGTTATGCCTTTATTAAGTGTACAATGTTTTTGTAATATTATCTCGAGAGAGAACTAAATTAAAAATAAAATCAAATAAATATACAAACTATAGAATTATAAATGATACGATAGTCAAATTAAAAGCACAAACAACACTATAACCTTTTGCGATGATATTTTTAAAACGTGATTTATAAATTATAATCGATCATAACACTTGCTATTCTAGTTTTTTTTACACGCACGCTCAGACACATTTTTTGTATCCCTTTCTCTTTCTTTCTCTACAAATATCCTTTCGAATCCTATGGTAGTCATGAAATTCTTACGTTTTTGTTAAAAATTTATTAATTAAAATTAATACTGTTATTTTTTAATAAAGTATCCTTTGGCGTTTACGATCTGTGCTTAAAAATAATCTAATTTTTATCCACGTAATACGTTACTCATAAATTTTGATTAACTCTGACTCGCTGCTGTGTGTATTATAACAAAATTTTCTTTTTTTTTTCTTAACTTTTATTGAAACGTTTGCGCGTATTCAAAAGTATAGAATTTAATTAATTACTATATTTTTGATCTTTTACATTTAATTAATAAACCGTTCTCACAAGCAACAGAGATTATGATTTCAATTGAAACTTTTGTTAGTTCGTAACAAAACATTTCATTAACGATTAATTCTTTTATGAGATTGAAAATAATTATTAATACCGTTGAAAATGAAAAGAATATTTGTAACCGTTGAATAATAAATGCAATTCGTTTATCTTTAACTTTTTAGATTAAAAATAAATTCTGTAGAGATGATTAAATTCAGTACACCTAAATAAAAGAAAAAAAAGAAACAGACATGCATAACTGTTGAATAATAAATGCATTAGAGATTAAAAAATCAAATTTTAAATGAAAAATAATCGATATTATCATAACTTCTTATTAAATCCTTTTTTAAACAATCTAAAGAACCCCTCATTAATTTTCTTCAACTATTTTCACATTACATAATTAAATTGAAATCAACGAATAATCGAAAGTCAAAAATCAGATGAATTTTCAATTTGAAGATGAAAACGATTGAAGGAAGAGAGGGGATAAGTGGGTAGGGGGGGGATGCGAATTTTGAAAATTGACCACTCGCCATGAGCGATGATTTTTCTCTTTTGAATGGAAATAAAATGAATGAAAAAAAAAAGATGGAAGTACTGTGGACGTACATTGCGCAATACCGCAATTTCATTGCGGATGTCGCCGTTCTTGTCGGAGTTGGAAACAAAAAGAAAAAAAAAAGGAAAAAAATAATGAGAAATGTTGAAAAGCGCGGGCGTTGTCCGGTCGCGGTCGTACGAGTCGAGAACGATCGTCTGCAGTTCGAGGATTACCTCACATTTCAGGAAACGTTGCATTAACTGCATTCCACCCCTCTCTACTTCTTCCTCTTCTCCCACTCTTCTTCTTCTTGTTCTTCTTCTTTTTCCTCTGTCTGTTCGTTGTCGCAGACGTTTTTACACGAACACGTGAAAGTAACTAGGGAAAGATACTTATGTTCATTTTTGTTTTTTATTTCTAAACAAAACTCAGTATCAGGTATTAAATTCATTAAAAAAAAATAATTAAAATTACAAACACAACTCGATATACTTCAGGCTATGTTATTATATTGACACTTTGAGACAGACAATTATTGAAGTTATACTTATTTTGGCGAGTTTTGAAAGTGAGGTTAGATGCGACCGAAAAATCGACACCACGAAGTTGTCAATAATTTACGATGCGCGGGATAATTGAAATTATTTTTGAGATTATTGAGATTATTGAAATTATATTCGTTTTGGTATGCTAAAGAAGAATAACTTATTACGTGCGTACATAAGTACACAGATCAGTTTTATTTTTTCTAGAAAATAACCACACACCCACGTTGCGAATAATTTTTATTTCTTTTTAAATTGCACGTATAATAATAATTCAATTAAATTTTTTTAATTATATATTACACATTTTTAATACCGCCCTCAGAATTAATATAACGTTTATATTTATTATTCTTGGAAAGAGAGAAAGATAACGAATTTGTTAAACGATTAATAATTACTTACAACAAATTTATTTCTAATTTAATTAAATTTCATATCCGTGTCAGAGAAAAATATGATAAAAATGATACGACAAAAATTTAATATGTTTCAAAATCTTCTATATATTATTTCGTTGATAATCGATCTCATGTGTTCCAACGGCAAGGATATTTTTTCGATGTTCGCGTCGTGATAAATGCGAAACGAGAAAAGAAAATAAAAACAGGAAGAAGTAGAAATAGAAGGATAAAAAGAATAAGAATAATAATAATAAAAAGAATAAGAAGAAGATTTCTCTTTCATGATCGTTACCTCACCAACATAGAAACAGGCATCGTGCCGACGATAAATAAGAGACGTGACGACAATCGTGAATTTCTGAATAACCGATTCAATTACTTTTTCAATTTAGTGTTAGTTGAGAATTCATTATAGGTAAGTGTATTTGGAGAGTTTGCAATAGTAACATAGGTTTACATCTGTCAAAGGAAATCTAATGAAAGTTTTACATGATAGAACATCTATAAAAGAAAATCATAATAAAAGTAAAATAAAAATAAAGTACAACAAGGAACAAAGAGAACATGGAACACACTAATAACACATGAACACGTGAACATGAACACATGATAGATAGATAGATGGAAAGAAATAAAAGGAATGAAAAAGATAGAAAAACATGAAATCGTAGCGACTACCAGACGCCAAGATTTGTTCCACGTGACTTGTCGGCTCTCGTTTCCGCTTTCCAGTCGCATGACGGACTACAAGGAATGAAACCATTGACGCGTTTCCGGCCACACCACGAGGACAAACGTGACAAAGTACAAAAGAAGACGTAGAATAGAAGCAGGAACATTTAAATCAAAGGTAACTAACGTTTCCTCTTATTACCGAATCATTGGAAAAAATTGGATTTAAAAAAAAAAAAAAAAATAAGTAAGATAGAATATGAAAGAATGAAAAACAGAAAAGAATACCCAACCATCCTTTTATTCGATATTCAATTTGTTCGTTCGTTCGTTCGTTCGTTCGTTCGTTCGTTCGTTCGTTTTTTTTCTCAGTTTCTTAATCTTCTACGAGATTTTTCTATTCGAAGAACGAGAACCATTTCTTTTTCTTTCTCTATTTTTTTTTTTTCTTTTTATGTGAGTAGGAGGAAGGTAGCATGGTTAGACCTTTCTTGTTCGGTTTGAAATTTAAAGGGTTTAACGAGTGTGCCATTTTTAACGAGATTGTTAAGAAGGGTGCATATATATATATATATATATATATATATATATATATATATGTATGTATATATATACTCTCTTACTTATATACTAACATTTACTTATTTACTTACTTACTTAGAATACTTATTGAAAAGTACCATGAACATAAGCCGCAAGACGTTTCTTAATCTTGCGATTAGCTGCGGAAACGCGTGCTCTGGATTCCACGATATTTTCGCTTGAAAGGAAGGAAAGAAAGAAAGGAAGAAAGGAAAGAAGGAAAATGACAAAGAAAAAAAAAGGAACAATAACAACAACAACAACAAAAAAAAAAGGAGGTCATGAAATCGTCGTTTCGTTTCCGACAGAATGTGATTAAACCGGATGAGACGGTACGATGACCAGATAGGACAAAATCTACCGAGGGAAACAAAAGTTTATTAACTAATGATACTCTGAATATTATCTTTTTATTTTCTTTATTTCAAATACCTTTCTATAAAAAAAATTCTATTTGTAGGGGTCAAGGGGTGGAAAAAAAACAATTCTTTCTCACGTCTGATGCATCTAAGAAAAATTTTATTTTCAACAAGATAAACGCACGAATGATAATTAAAATAAATTGTAAATAATTTTGAAAGTTAGACAAATTTTGTAACCTAATACGAATTTATTGTTACTCTAGTAAAAAGAATTGCAAAATGATTATAATTAAAATTATTCTCATCCACTCGTGAGTTGTTTTTATCAAAATAAATTAAATAGAACGATGGGAGGGGGGAAGATATTGTTGACCGAACAAAATACGAATAATATTATTCTGATAAAAAGAAGTTAATAATCTATTTGGACAGTAAAAAAAAAAAAAGAAAAATAAAGAAACGGATGTGGTGCGAGGAGTTTAATTTCTTAAAGTGGTCAACTATGGTCAACTGACCTAAAGACGATTAGGCATAACACGTTGTTCTTGCACGTTAAAATGTGAAGGAAAGAGAGAGAACTATGCGGAAACGGCTGAGACGAAAAACAAACAAAAAAAATAAAAAAAAATAGGGATTACCGCAAAAGTTGCAACGTGACACGTTATTATGTTCCACAATATCGTACATGTGTCATCGTCTAAACGATCGTTTTAATCATTCAGGTTACTAGGTCACGATACTATTTCTTTTCCTTGTATTTTTTGTTACGTAACAATCTATGCAACAATTTTTCTCTAAGATATTCTCCAGTACATTTATTAGTTTATTCGAAAAGTCAAATTATAAAGAAACATTTTTAAACGATGCTTTCATAATACTTTTTCTTTTTTACTAAATTAAAATATTTGTTGATAAATTTTGAAATTATTCGATACTTGTGACGTATTGATTTATAACAGAAAATTACTTTTCTTGAATTTATATTAAATAAACATAAATTAATTTCACTATTAATATTTCTATATAATATTTTCTTATACTTTTATGCATTCTTAGACGTGTGTGATAGTAAATAATTAATGTTAATAAAATACTTCGAACAAATTTTTAAATTGAACAGAAAATATAAAATCTTGTATTTGATTACGTTTTGTCGAGGAGAAAAAAAATGTGTTTAGAAATAACCGAAAGGAGGAAAAAGAGTTGAAAAGTGGTTGTACGCGTAACGATTCGTCTCGTTTGAAAAGGATTCATTGAGAGATGCAGGATTGACCGGCCGAGGTTAATAAGTTGGGGTCAAGTGCACTCGTATCGGATTAAGCCGGTCGCGGAGAAATTGACCTCCGGCCAATTGCATGGGTTCTCTCCGTTCGCGAGTCTGCCAGATGTGTGGCAAATAACTAGAATAAATAGACTTTGCAGGTCAACTAGAATGTTTCCTAACTTCTGATCTTTAAATTGTCTCTCATTAAAATAATCTTTCATAAGATCCATTAAGCATTGTTAACATCTCATAAAACTTTGACACTCTATTTAATGACATTTATTTTATATTAGATTATAGTCGATAAATTGATCAGAAATCTTCTTCAATCCGGAATTTTCTTCCTAAAACTTAATCATCGTACTTATTGTTTTATTCTATCAACTACTGTTAATATTTATAAATTTTAATCAAAGATTTATCTTTAGATAATATATTATAAGATAATATTTTGAAATATTCGTAAAAAAGAAGTTAAAAGAAATAGGATTTGCAAAGAGATATCGAAAGATTATAATTTCTTTTATTATTCGATTAATAACTTAAATCTTGTGTCACCAAAATACAGAAAGTTTCATTAGTTTAATAATTGAAATTATTCTTATAGACTCATTCAGCTTTAAATGTTAATTTGAAATGAATTTAATGAATCACAGTGTGTGTGAATGTTCAATGTATTATCATATATAATTTATTTAGTAATACGTTTTATTCAAATGAATTGATGTATATATATTATCGTTGAAATTAATTAAGGAAATGAATTTGCAAAACGTACGATTCAAATTATTCTTACTTATCAGTGAAATCTAATGATTGATGACACTTTGTTCTTACGACATTTAAATGTGCAGTCACATTTTTTGAAATTCTGCTTAGATTAGTATCAAGGGATTGTTTTATTGCAGTTTGACGTAAAAATATTTTTACAATAGGGACCCCTTTAACGATACTTTGACTATACGGAAATAGTTAATGTGCACATTATCTAAATAAAATGCACAAAAATTCTTGATTTCATACGTTAACGGAACAAACCAGTTAATGTGAAGATTAGCTAAATACTTTATTACTTTAACTGTAAAGATATTTTTAAATGAAATCGTTAACATACCCGGCTTCCTGCGCGAGCTCCACAGCACGGGGGGGTGCGCGGAGGCGGCGACGGCAACGGAGGGCTTACCACCAGAGGCAGCCAGCTTGACTGCGTTCGGCAAACCTAAACGAAATAAGGAATATTTGATTATTTCATTTATATCAATTAGTAAATCAAATAACAAAGTCTAACACGACATCCGACTAAACACAATTACCAATTCTACGTGTTTAATATTCCAAGTAAAAATGGATACATTATTTGATTATTTATTTGATTTATTTGTAATTTTTAATCAAATACTAACAACCCTTAAATCAATTTGGCAATTAACGTATGTTAAAAGTTATGCTTTAATAATTAATATTTAAATTTTCTATTTTGTGTGTAGAATCTCAGGGGTTGTAGATACCTGATATCATTTATTTCTTTATTTGAAATTTGTAATTTTTAAATAATTCCATAAATCGAGAGAATAAGCAAAGAAAAGAGAAATACAAAATGTTGAAAAATATTCAAGGGAGGGCTTGGTTCAAAAATCAATGTACAATCTTAATAAACAACTCTGCTCTTTTTTTCTTTTCGTATATCTTATACTCTTATTTATTTTACAGTTTTCTTTTTTGTTATCAGAATAATACAACGCACCGTACAAAAAATCCAATAGTCCAAGGAAGAGACAAAAAATGTTAAAAAGGACAAAAAAAACAGTCACCCCTCGCAATATGGTTTTCGAAAGGGTAGCAGGCAGGGCACTGTTCGTGCCACAAATGCTTCGATCCTGTGGTTCTTCTTTTTTTCTTTTTTTTTGTTTTTTAAATATTATTACCTTTTTTTTACGATCTTGGCTCCCCAAAGCTATTTCAACCCTCAGGCCAATGCCTTTCGTGTCAAACTATTGAACCAACCCCTCCTAATACATACATATAGCTTATAAAAAGTTCCCCCACCTCCACCCCCACCCCGCAATTGTGAGTGTTCTTTCGACTGAGAATTTTTGTTCGCCCCTCTTACAACACTAATATTTTATTACCATTGAGAGGTTAGATTTGTTCGGTATAATATTTGGCTAACCAATTTTCTGCAACGTTTAACAACATTTTCGCAAATGAATTCTACACGAAAGTATAATAGATCTCGTTTCGAAATTATTTGGAAGAAGAAGAAGAAAAAAAAAAAGAAAATTAAACGAAAGTCACGATAGAAACTCGTTCATCTTATCTCGGTAAAAAAAAAAAAAAAAAAGAAAAGAAAAAATCCTCGATATCTATGTTTATCTTAGACAAAATTTCTGCTTATTGTCAACTTAAATTGATCCAACTTGTTTCCCAACTGATTGCGTGATAAAATATAATATGAGAATAATGTGAACGAATTATACGACGACTCGATTTTTAACATATTAAAAGTAAAACTTTTTACGTGTTTTTTTTAACAGTTAATAATAATAATTTTTAACACTAAACCTATTTATATATATACGACACTTCGTGCATATCTATTCCTATCGTGAGTGTTCAAAAAAATAAAAACTATATATTCTAACATATTAATGAGATTTCAACCAATTGGTTAGTAAACAACAAATTGTGAATTTCATTTATAAATTAAAAATGTACACTTTTCTTACAAATTACAGAACACTTTGTCATTTAAATGCGCCTGGTAAGTTCAGTGTTAAAAAATATAATTTATTTTGTTTTCAATATTATCTAAAATGCATCATATTAAAAATGAAAAATATCAATTATGATGATTTTAGTAAAGTGTACAAGTATTTTTTCTTTTTCAAAAACGTTCATACGTCTTACAAATTTCTTCGTGATGGTGATTGTTAACGTGTTAAATGAAATGAAACAATTGTTACATATTGTTAGGATAATTTTCTCTTACTTTATCTAAGATAAAAGAGAGATAACAAAAAAGAAACACTATTGCAATATATCATTATCTCTCCAATTGAGACAAATGAAAATTGGTTAGTGTTAATAGCATTTGAAGACTACTTGCTAATGATAGTATTGGTCACAGGTGTTGATACAAATTTGGTAATCCCACGAATGCCATTCACGTTCGATACAAACGTTCCTTTTTAAAACTTCATCTTCTTTTATACGATTTTAAATTGGCCATAATAATATAAAAGCTTCCTATCACAGAAAGTATACATTTTTGATACTAGTCGAAAAATCTGAACTTACACGTGAAATTTTTATTTTTTTTATAACTTCATTTTTTTTTTAATACGATTTTAAATTGGTTAATTTAAATATAATATTAGAAAAATATCGATATTTTTATCACAAGTATCGTAATGAGGTAATATATTATAGTATTATAGTCCATTTTGTTCGGAACGTTTTGCTATTTAAATGTTTATATCCTTGAAAAATAATATTATCCAAAATAACGAAGACAAAGCTACATTACTTCGCTATTAATTATACTACAATCATAATAATAATAATAATAATCATGTAACATAATAAAAAATAAAATCAATAATTCTATCAATTTCGTTTTGTAATTTATACAAATAAGATGAAACGTTATTATTTATTTCTAAATAAAAACGAGAATACATATTGTTCATTATCCAATTGGTTAACATCTCATTACTATTATATTAACCCATTATAGACCCGTGTAAAACTTTGAATTAACATACGAATAAATTCATATTATTTTTTAATCAAATCTTCTTACCCAACATATCCCCAACATTTTAATAT